CTGTTTATTGAAAAAAATGTCTTCTAAAAGGAAAAAAAAATAATAAATCCAATAGCGTTAACTAACTAAACTATTTTAAATGTTTCTTCTGAAACTGTGAAACGAAATTTTTATTGGGTAATTTAATATTCTTTATGGAAACGCAATTTACTAAAAGAGAACTTAGTACACCAAACTAATACCTGCCATATTAATTTTTTTACAGCATTTTACTAGAGCATGGTGCTTAGCTATCATTATAATAAAAAATATTATATCGCTGCTTCCTTTTTATATATCAGCGCATGAGGCAACATGTATTTGAAATTAAGTATTAATTATATTTTTATTATATTTTTCATTAGAATTCAATCTGAAATATTTAGATCTATAGATCTTCTTTGTTTGAGCCAAATTTCAATATATTCAGTTAGATCGTTCTGCTATAAAAGTTAATGTTAACAAAATTAATCTTATTGCAATGACTAGACAGCATAACTTTGTCAGTCTCTCTTTTTGAATGCATAAAAATCCACGTCATATGAAAATAAATAAGCGGTAACTAAGAGCTTTCTTTACAGTTATATATTCAGGAGACATCTCCAAGTAATGAATTCTTCTTTACTTAATGAACTAAGGGACATTAAAGGAGATATTCTATAAAACCGCAGTTTCACTTTTAATTTAGCAAGACCAAGTTCATTTAAAAATGGATGCACTTAACATTTGAAATGTTTCTTGTAGTTTATTTGGTAGCTCAAAACTACCTAAAACGAAATCCTTACCATCTCGCTTCTAGAGATTGCGGTTATTTTAGCGCGTTACGAAACTCATAGCAAGAATGTGAGAACTGTCGTAGAAATTTCTGTCTTGGGGGGGAAATTAAACGCCTGGAGATCAAAGTGAAATAGCTAATTATCCGGTTGGTATTCCTGACTGAAATTTTGGAATTCTGTCTGTTTCAGCGTATATACGTATGAATATCTGTGACTTAGTTAGTCTTAAGTATTTCTTATTAAGAAGAAGAGATAATGAAGTAACAGAATTATGTGGATGTAGCAATTAAAACTTCAATATGAAAATCTGAGTAATGAAATTAAATATTACTTTTCTTAGTTCTGTGTATATAATCTGTAGAATTGTTTTTAGTTTTTAAGATTTTTATTGGTAGTTGTGCAAAATACCCTGAAATCGAAATTGTAGCAAAATCTAAAATTGTAGTCAATCGGTGATAAAATTTAAACGTGACAGAAATCCCAAAGTGCTAGTATTATATATATAAAGGAATATAAAAGCGTTTTTATTGACACCTAGTTATCATACATTCCATAAACTGTTACCCGACTGGGTCCAAATAAATGACCTTTTTATATATGCAGTTTTCTAGAAAAGCTTTTCCTTCTCTTTCCGTAAAGATCTGTTAAATCTCATACAGTTTATTGTACCACGGAATTAGGTTATTTAGGAAATAATGTCTTTAAAACAAATACAGAATGATAAAATATTGTTGAGAAACGATTATTTGTAATATAAGAATATATATATATATATATAGTGACAAATGTGAATTAAATGGAAATAATGACTTCATTTTAGCAATATCATTTCCGAAGACAGTCACTTATTCATGCATTTGGCTTACAAAATTGAGGAGAAATTGCTGAGTTGCTTATTTCTTTACTTTTTTAAGTGGCGAAATCTGTTGGGAATGTTTTTTTCAGTTGAATCGGAAATTCTAGGCATACCACCTAAAGGCATCCTTACCATTATAATTATATATACCATGAAATATTGTAGCAGTTCTGGTCTCAATGGTTGGCCAGGTACTGGCTCCAGGAAACGTCCAAATATTGGCAAGACAGGAAAGACTGTGCATCTGCCTGAGGTAGGAGGTTTTGCTTTGAAGAGAGCTCGATCTGCAAGGACTTCTACTACCTTGACGAATACTTATGGTCTCCAGACGCAGCACTTTTCATTCTTGTTAATAATGAGTGTAAACACATTGATGACTCAGGGGTGACTGCCAAAGTAAATATACGCATATCAGCCCACTTTAGAAAAAAAAAAGCTGAAAACATTATGCGCGCAATGTGGCTATGCCCTACAATGCAATAAAGGGTCGCAGACACTTAGACGACAACAGTTAGTATACAGGACATTTAACCGACACGTATATTTAGCCGACAGTACATCTAAGCGATACGGACATTTAGCAAGTACGACACTTAGCTAACAGAGACATATTATTTCTCTGTCTAATAATTTAGACATCATTTATTAGACAGAGACACCGATGGGACACTTAGCCGAGAGGACTATTTAGCTGTCAGGGCATTAATCGACACGAACATTTAGACAACAGGACATTTAGGAGGCACGGACATTTATTCGACAGAACACTTAGCCGACGCTTACATTTAGCCGACAAAAACGTCAACTAGATGGCCTATCGTCTAAAATATCTTATTGGCTAAATGTCCTGTCAACTAAATGTGCGTATCGATTAAATGGCCTGTAGGTTATATGTCCCTGTCGGCTAATTATCGAATTTAATAGCGTCTTTATTTTTATCAGTCGTAGTTATCGTTTATCATACTGGCGTTAGCCTACGCATTTGCTAAGTTGGAGAATGGAGTCGTTAAGCAAGCCACGTGAGTTAAATATCCTCAGCGCTTTTAGGAAAGGTTAAGCAACCATACATGGATAAAAATATCATTGAATAGGAGAAAACTTATTTCTAACCAGACTTGTGTTAAAGCAGAGTATTCTGTTATCCATTTATATGCGATGATGTAAAACTAATAATTCTAGCATTGTGGCGTTCTTTTGTGTGGTGATTCAGGGTAAATAGGCGATACCACTCAACTTTGTTATTAACTGTTTTCCTGTCTCTCGCTTTGTCGCGCACTTAGATTTGGTATCTTCTACTATAACCTTATAAGTATTATAAGGTATTTCGCCCGATTTCTTAGCATGCCTTCGTGGTGTAGTGGTCAGCACGACAACCAACGACGTCGGACCAACGACGTCGGACGTGTGTCAGTTTCGCTCCTGGTTTTTGTGCTTTTTCGAGTGTTCAAAGTGCCGCCGGAAGTGCGCCGTTAGTGTTAAAGTGTGCGTGAATGTGCAGTGCATCGATTGATATATCGTTCATGTGTGTGCGCTAAGTATTTCTCTGTGAAATTGTGTTTTTGTGTTATTCACAAAGGATTTCAGGCTGCTGCAATTTTAGCGGACGGAAGGTTCCCGCCGGCCAAACACGTGGCACCGAGGTAGGCCTAACGTTTTCGATGGAATTTTTTCTAAGTCCAGAAATTGGTCAATTTTTTTAAAACATTAATTTCTAAGCACCTAATTATGTTATTTTTACATGGTTTTCATCAAAATGATCAAAATTAAAAGTTCTTTGTATAATATTTATATTACTGTATCATTGATATTTAACGAGTTAGGTCATAAATTTTATATTTATGTCTACTTCTGATTTACCTTGCACCCTGTATACTAGGCTTAACTCTACTTTTAATTTATGTTAGCTCCAAAGGGTTTGTCCTTTTGGCACTTCATTTTTGTCAATATTTGAACATTGTCGAGACGCAGAACTTTTTGTCGAAATCTTGCTTTCTATCACTTATATTGATAAAAATAGTGTTTTCAGCATTTTTATTGACTTTTTGACTGTTTTATATTATTCCTTATGAACTGTATTTCTTACGTCATATAATTGTTTCTATTAGACTTTATTGTTTTATATCGTTATAACGGTGCTTAACATCATAGTTTTCTTTTACTTTTGCTTGAGTTCTTATATACTTTGTGTTATAAGTGATATATATAGATTTTTATTTATATGCGATATATATAGATTTTATTTATATGTGTAACAATGTCACGATCATCTGTTGCACATGTAGACACAGTACCTATTGAGGACTTTGACCCATTTGAACTGATTTACTACCGAACAATTGTATAGTGATAAAGTTAATCTATTGTACACTTGTATACACTCTATTGCTACTACATTCCGAGGTGGTAAGCATATTCTACGATCTGAATTACGAGATAAATTGACCCGGTCTTTAGACGCTCTCAAAGAGCTTGCCTTACAGGGTCCGGATTACATACCTCCGCCGACTACAGCTGACGCGGAAGTAAATACTTCTACTTTGGTGTGTTGTGAACTTCTTCATCAACAACCTCTGCCAATTGCAACTACACACGATTTCACTATTCTCACGCCTGTTAAATCTTTGGCTTCTGCCTCGACTGTAGCACCTGCATCATCTGCTGTCTCTTCAGCCCAACCACCTTTTACTTTTGCAGAAGTGGTTCGACAGCCAGTACAACCTAGCATTATAATAAAATCCAAATCAAAGAAAACAGCTGCTCAACTGCGTCAGGACCTACAGGTTCACGCACCGCTTAATAAGCTTCAAGTTGCTGTCCAACGTATTTCTTCTCTTCCTCAAGGTGGTTTAGAAGTCTTTTGTCGATCTCCATCTGACATTTCTCGCCTTGAACATAAACTTCAAGATACAAATCTGGACATTGCTGTAACACGTCGCCAGCGTCGTAAGCCTAGGTGTGTGATTCGAAACGTTTCTGAAGATCTTTCATCTGACAATTTGATAGCTGGATTAAGTGCAGCTGCTCATATACAAAACAATGGAATCCGACCTTTGTTTAAACTTAAAGAACGTACTCCTAAAAGAGTACGCTGGATTGTCGAATGTGACTCCACCACTTTCCAGGCAGTCATCGCAGTTCGAAAGCTCTTCTTCGGTTCGAAAGCTCTTCTTCGGTTCCGATCTCGGAATTTCTGGGCATCCTCAGATGTTACAAGTGCAGTAATATGGGCACACGCAGGAGCGCTGTACATCACCAACCGTGTTCTGTGCCTATTGCGCTGGCCCCCACAGTCTCAAAGACTGTCACGCCGAACTACCGGAGTGTATCAACTGTCGAGACAGCAACCACCATCATGGCACCTTGTATGACTGACTACCGACACCCTACCTATGCTTCAGAATGTCCATCATATCAACGCACAGCAGAATACATTCGAAGTATCACCCAATACTAGAAGTACTTCTACCAGCTCTTCTTCTACAATTCCTAATACACTGCCTTCACACAGTAATGCTAATTCCTCTACTCCTTCTGGTGTCAAAAGTTCTGCCATGAATCTAGATTTTACTCCAGCTCTTGAACGTATTAATTTTATCCAGATCAATTTACAAAAATCTCGTGCTGCTACTGCACATGCTGTTGATTACGCAGTTAATGCTAAAGCCGATATATTAATTGTTCAAGAACCCTCCACGAGGGATGGTAAGATTGTGGGCTTTCCACTACGCTGGTCGATATATCAACATGTAAATAAGGCAGAGCTTCCTAGAGCAGCAATCGTAATTCTTAATCCCTTATGGTCTCCACTTGTTTTCAAGACTGATCGTGACCATGTGGCTATATTACTGGAATTAATTGATATTAAAATTATCCTTTATTCCATTTATTCTCCACCAACAGCGTCATTGGAATCAGCACTTCTATTTCTAGAATATATCCGGCAACATTACCCAGTGCCAAATAATATTATAGTGGGCGATTTAAATGCCCATAGTACAATATGGGGTTATCCTCAAACAGATGTTAGTGGTCATCTTCTAGAGGATTTTCTTAACTCAAATAACCTAGTCCTTCATAACACTATTGATGCTCCTCCGACCTTTGAACAAGCTTCTACATATGGATGGCCTGATCTTACTATATCCACGCCTCCAACAGCTGTCTATGTACAAAATTGGACGGTTGATTATATTAGTGGTCTATCAGATCATAAGTATGTTCTCTTTCAATTAGAGCATACAACCAGTACATCTATTGTCCGTCGCTATCGGCTGCCTGGGCATAAAATTGCTGTCTTTCGTCGTCGTGTTACTGCATGTCTTCGCAATTTAGTTCCACATTTGCATCGTTGCACGACGTCAACGGAGTTGAATGAATTCACAGTCCATCTAATGACATCGATACAGGCAATTTGTAATGATCTTTTGCCGCAACGACATACAAAGAAATTGCAATCAATTACCTGGTGGAACTCTTCCTTAGGACAACAACAGCAGAAATGCAGATCTTTGAGACGGAAGCTCAAGCAATTGCGACGTCTCGGCACCTCAGACCGCCTTTTAGAAGTTTACCGGCGCGACCGCGCTCGATATGAAAAAATGATTCTACAGGCTAAGCTTCAATCTTGGCGTGATTTTTGCACCAATAATAACCACCGAAACTTATGGTTTACATCATAAGTTAGCATCGGATAAATTATTCAAACCTGCGGTTTTGCATTTTCCTCCACCATCACAAGCCTCACCTACGATCTGCTCTACGGAGGAAATGATTTCTAACCTTCTGGATGACATTTTCCCAATGGATGATGCTTCAGCAGATACACATCTTCAATCTAACATTCGCCGGAATACATCTCCTCCTAATAATACACCAGATCCCGACTTCACGCTTTCAGAAATCTCTTATGTAGTTAATCATCTTCCAAAGAAGAAAGCACCTGGATCGGATGGTGTGGATTATGGCATTATTAAAGTTATTATCCTATCTAATTTATCCTTCTTCCGTGACTTCTTTAACAAGCTTTTCCGCACTGGTACTTTTCCACCTGAATTTAAGGTTGGTCAAGTTATTCTCTTTTTGAAGAAGAAGAGGGATGCCCGTCTCTCAACATCATACCGTCCTATTTGCCTTTTGTCTGCTATGGGCAAGGTGTTTAAACAGCTGATAGTACAACGCCTTAAACATCATCTTCATAACACCAATTTTCTTTCCAATCGACAGTACGGTTTTCGTGCTGGTAAGACCACATTGCATGCTCTGAAGGATGTTACCGATGCCATATATACGAATAAACTGGCTGGCTACCACACGGCCTTTATCAGTGTCGACTTGAAGTGCGCCTTCGATACCTTGTGGTGGCCGGCCATTATTCAAGCCTTGCAACAAGCCAAGTGCCCTGTTAACCTTTTGAAGACGGGGTGGCCATTATAGTGGCCATAGTCTTCTCTTTGAAAAGACGGGGTTGTCCACTTTAGTGGCCATGTCGATCTCCCCCATTTTCCAGGCTGAAAAGTGGGGTGAAATGTCAAATTTGACGTCACTGGGGCGTCAAATTTGACAACCACTTATCTCTTTCAGAGGTCTTCCTTTTGCTACATAGATGCACCCCTCTGAGAATCCATTAAACTACACACAAGAATCTTTGTTGAAATAGGAGGTGTTTTTTTAAAGGGGGAAAAGCATTCGATCCAAGATTCCCCGTCCTTTGGTAGCTTTTACTGCTACCAAAGCCCCGACCTCAAAAGGTTAATCTCTTCCAGACCTTCAGCAATTATTTGTCGGAACGCTCTCTTATTTTTGTCCATAATAATGGTCAAGTCCATCGTTTGCAGAATCGAGGTTGTCCACAGGGCTCCTGTGCGGGCCCTGACTTATGGACCCTCACTTTCAATCAAATTCTAGCTGCCCAATGGCCTGCACATACATCTACTTATGCCTATGCCGACGATGGCGCTTTTATTGTCCGTGGCAAAACAAGAGAAGAGCTTCAACGCCATGCTCAAGAAACGTGCAACCTTTTTTCTACACTATGTCTAAATATAAATCTACAGATTTCTGAAGATAAATCTTTTATACTCCTGATCCCGAAAAAGGGTGGATCTCTGGCACGTCGACCCCGCATCGATATTAATAATAAAAGAATAAAGATTGTTCGTCAGTTAAAATACCTTGGCATCGTCTTTGACGATAAATTGAACTGGGCTCAACATCTTTTGCACATTAAAAAGAAAACTTATAACATAGCATATAGGCTCCGACAGATGAGTGGTTTTCAGTGGGGGCTTAACCCCCATATACAGAAACTTCTGTACCAAACGGTTATTGTCCCCATTGTGACCTATGGGGCAGCTGTTTGGAGTCAACCAATGCAGGGCCGTAAAGTAAGGTCTCTCCAATCAATCCAACGTTCTTTTCTTCTCAATATATCTAAAGCCTTTCGAACGACTTCAACTAGTGCCCTACAAGTAATAACTGGTCTTCTGCCTCTCCATCTCCGAACGGAACAGGAGGGAGCACGACAACTACTTAAATTGCTAAATCAACAGGTCACCTTCTATGGCGAACATTATTCTCCTGAAGATTATGAACGACCCTACAATCGACTACGTCTACATCCAGCTGCTTATGGACTTGGTGTTCATGTAACATTACGTGAATCTACTCAACTGCCTGATGGTGATTATTACATTTACACTAATGGGTCAAAAATAGAAGATAATACTGGTTGTGATTTTGCAGTTTTGCACCATGGCATTTTATTGCATCAATGGAAAGCACATCTCCATGGACATAACAGCGTGTTCCAGGGAGAGGCCTTTGCCATCGTCAATGCCACTAAATATATTTTTGGAACATCAAAATATTGAACTGCTGCATTGTAACGGACAGTCAGTCGGTCTTGGCTGCTGCAATGAATCCTGTGCATCCATCAATAATAATTTCGCAACTTCAAGAACTACTTCGATTAGGTGCTCACCTTAATATTCAAATGTTTTGGACACGTGCTCATATGGGCACAATTGGAAATGAACTTGCTGATGAATTAGCTAAGCAAGCGGCCATGAACGATGATGCTATTAATTCTCCTTTAGCTTGGCCCATATCACATTTTCTTCGGAAACTGCACCTACAGTCAGTTATGCAATGGCAGGTCCTCTGGGATGCAGAGGTTACTGGCCGCAGAGCGCATTATCACCTGGGCTATGTTGATGAGACTCGTCTTCTTGCCAATTCACAATTGGTAAGATATGTCACAGGTCACTGGCCTTTTCTCGTATATTTTGCCCGCTTTAACATCACATGAACTGATCAATGTGTTTGTGGCCAGGCGGGTACGCCTGAGCATTATGTATCCTCTTGTGAACTTACACGAGAACGGCATATCCCTTTTTCTGCTCAACATCAGCAGGCTTTTAGTAAGTTTTTAATCAAACAACGACATCTTGTTCGGAAACTGACTGCCATCATGTCAAAACTTATGCATCTTGGTACCGACTTATGTCAACCTGTCTAATTACTTGCTGTTCCTACACCTTCTATATTATATGTCAAATTGTTTCATTTACTGCATTTATCAATTAATTTAGCTGTATTGTTAACCATATCCTTTGCATTTTGAATTAGTATGTTGTCATTTATTGTCTAGTGTTGTTTCAATACTGTTAGTAATACGAATTATGCTGCACTATGTAACACAATTTATCTGTGATTTCTATTACTTGCACATCTTATTTACTGCATACTGAATTTGCAGTTTCTTCTGTATTGCATTTGTACTCATATTTATATCATTTGTATTAGTTAAGTACTGGTTCATCATAAATGCATCTGTTCTGTACTGAATTTGTGTTGCATTCATATTTAATAGTATTTGTATTTCTTATGTGCTGATTTATATAGATTACATTGTTACATACTGAATTAGTAATGCATTTGTCGTGTCCTGCCCTTATCCTCATATTATATTCTTCACTTTTATAATGTGCTGATTCATCCTGATTGCATATATTATGCACTGACTTTGTATTGTCTATTATATACTGAATCTGTATATATTTCTATTCACAGTATTTGTTATGTGCTGAATTCTATTGATCACATTGTTATATACTGTATTTGTACTGCATTTGTAGTGTACTATCTACAAATTTGTAGTGTGCATTTGTAGTGTACATTTGTAGTGTACTTATCTTTCTATTTATATTATTCATACTAGATATGTGCTGATTCATCTTGGTTGCATTTATTACATACTGAATTGTATTATCTCTCATATACTAAATTTGTCTCGCATCTGCGCTGAATTTTCATTACCTGTTATATATTGCATTTATATGAGTTCATCTTAATTAGATTAATTATGCACTGAATTTGTATCACTTATTATATTTGTATCACTTGTTCTATACTGAATTTATAATGCATTTGTATTTATTTTATTAGTATTTGTTCTGTGCTGTTTTATCTTGATTGCATTTGTTTACCTGTTATCTATTGAATATTGTCGTTTGTAGTGTACTCTTTATATTTATATTATTCGTATTGGTTAAGTGCTGATCCATTCTGATTGCATTTATTACGCATTGACTTTGTATTACCTGATTTATACTGACTTTATATATATATATATATATATATATTGTATTGTATCGGTTATGTGCTGATTAATATTAACTGCATTGTCATATACTGAATTGTTCTATACTGAATTGGTAACGCATTTATAGTGTACTGCTCTTATACTTACTCATATTTCTATTACTCACATGCACTCATATCTTTGATTTGTATTTGTTATGTACCCATGCCATTACTTTATCCTCCCTAATGTACTCTGGCCTATTTAATATATTTAATTTTGATTCAGATTTAGTATTATTGTGATGTCATTAACTAGTAATAGGCCTATTCTGTCTTATCGTGATGCCCTTAACTTATAACACGCCTTCTGTGTTCTGTACTCATTTTCCTGTAACTTGCTTTATCTTGTAATCTTTACCTCTTATTGTTAAATTTGTACAATCCTTGATATACTCGTATTATTAATGTACTTTACTCAATTGTATCTCTCTATGCCTTTGTTTGGCCATGTAAATATTTCTTTAACAAATCTGACGCCGGGGCGACGGGTGTGGGTCCCCTATGGGCCTTTGGTTCGTTGAACTACCCTGGGTGGATCCGGCGTTGGGCTTGGTCTCTCTGTGCGCGGCTCTCGTGTGGCCTCTTTGGCTGCTCTAGATCATGGGGGGCAATTATTATCTCATCATTAAAGATTCTAAGAGCAATTTTGTATTATTAACTCCTAAATATAAAACCGCTAAAGGAAGTTTACAAAATAACTTCAGTGTTAACTAAAATAATACCTGACTGCATTCTGTGGACGAGATCTAATTTTGTGTAGAGGCTAGAAATGAGCTTTTGATAAATAAAAAAAAAGATTATAATAATCATTTAAGGAAAATTACAAATAATGTTAATTTTATTAATTAATTTTATTTCGAAAATAATCAACGTATTACAATGACCGGTATGAATATTCAATTACAAACTGGAATTTGTTTGAGCGCTTCAGAAAATATACATTTTAAATTCAAAATGATATTTAAGAAGCGAAAAGTGTAATATTTATTTTTATTTTCTGACTTTTAAGATTTTTTTCAAGTGGTATTTTAGACAA